GCCAAATCATGAAACTTGTTCACCAAGAAATCACAAAATGCAAATTAGGGTTAGAAAATGGAATTTTTCATAACTTAGAATTTTTCTAAGTTATGAAAAACCCTAATTTTTTCCCAACTTTGCCCCATCTTTTCACCAAGATCCATTTGGATTCAAACAAAAGTCAAAACATGAAAGTTGTAGCTTGTTACATAATCTACAACTTTGATTCACAAAGTTTTCTCATTTGAAGCTTGTATCTCAAGTTACAATTTTTTGAATAAGGGCACTAAACCATTTTTAACTTAGTGAAATTTTAACCTATTTTGACAAGGTTTTCTACCCCACTTCAAGGCCATTTTCCATACCCTTCCACTTGGAATTTCAATTTTCATTTCAAAGATGGATTGTAGTACACATTCCAAGGTTTCCAAAATGTCCAAGAACTCATCAAACAACCTCATAACTTGAGAGATTCGAATTTCACAAGTTGGCAAAAATTCACTTTTGTTCTTAACCAAGACATGTTCATAATCTTGCAAATTTGAACTCAGCTTGCTTTATGCTTGATTACAGGTCCTTGAACCATTCCATACTCAATAATTTAATGCATATTCAATGTGTTAAAGTGTTGTTCTTTGAGTGCAAGCATTGTATGCAAGATTAATCCTAAACTAGATAAAGTGAACTTTCCATTTTTGAAAAGATTAGCTTTATGTCAATTTAGAAATCCAACAAGTACAAGCAAAATCCTTTTGGCACAAGATTATGGACAAATTGCTCTGATCAAGAGAGGCTTTGCTGCAGGATTAGAGGTCCCCTACCATCCTAAAACATCAACTTGCATTTCTTTGCTTCACATAGAAGAAACATAGCATAACTTGTGACAACTCTCTCTTCAGCACAAAAACACAAGAACAAAGTTATCAAACACCTTCCATAGAACACAACCAAGCTTTGGCACGAATCCTTGACCTCCAAAACACCCTCCATCTCAGAATCATCCTCAAACTGCAAAAACAGAGTTGCCTCTGCAGTTTGAGTGCCAACTCCCATTTCCCTCGAGCATTCTTACCAAAAGCAATCCATACACATTCCCTAGCATATATGCAAGCTAACCATGACCTAAAACCTGACCTGTAATCTCTCTAACAGCTTCCACCATTTTTACATTTTTGACTTGCAGGTGAAGTTCTATAGCTTGATACAAGAAGTTTCAAGACAAAGTAAGCATTGAAAAAGCATCCCTGGACCTCAAGGAAGCTTCTCCAATCATTACCTTGCACTAGAAGTTCCTCATTCTCCAGATAGAAGTTCAACTGCACAGGTAAAACTTTGAACTCGTATCTCTCTTATCATGCATCTTTAGTCTTAAGTTTGTGAAGAAACAAGGTTCTACTCATAGCCCTGAACATGTACATATCTTTACATTTCATTTCTTTTGCCTGAGTAGAGAGAATTTGGAGTTTGAAAATGGCAGAAAAATTAGGTTAGGATTTGGGGGAGGAGAAATTCTCCCTCATCTTAGAGAATTAGGTCAAGTTCCATACATGGTTAGAATCGTCTCTTCATGCTGAACATTTGTTGTGTTATGAGTTTTTGCTAAAAAGCCAGGAATCAAGAGTTAGAAGATGTTGAACATGGCGCGCGTTTTTTCAAACATTTGTGCTGGAGGTTGAAGACAGTGGCATTGGGCTGGGCTTGTGTGTTTTTTCTTATTTACACCACATATTTGCTATTACACCCCCTGAGCCCATTTGCTTTATTTTTATTCTTTTTTGACTTATTCTTTTTTTATTTGACTTTGTTTATTTTTTCTCATGACATTAAAAAAATAAAAATATTTTTTCCATCATTTTTTGAATATATGGCATATTTATTTGATTTATTTCTTTTGTTTGCATATAAATATTATATATATACTATTATTAGAATAAATAGAAAAAATAGTGTAAATACATTTTTTTTTTTATTTACCTTCTGAAAATATTTCACATAAAAATACTTTTTTTTTATTATTTATTTTGTTAAAATATTAAATATATATTATTTTGTGTATAATGCATATTTAAGAACTTAATATATGTATATATATGTTTATTAATATATTTAAGTTAAAATATAAAAATACTTGAATTTTTTCATTTTCATTAATATTTGATACAAAAATACTTTTTTCATAATATACTTCATTTTATTTTTTATTTTTGTACATAATAAATAAATACTTGTATTAAATCAATTAATATCCATTTTCATTAAAATTAGGGTTTTTTGCCCTAAAAGTTAAAAATATTCAAAAATAATACCTTTTTATTTTCTTATTTTATTTTACATAAACCATACTTTTTCTCATACATAAAAACTTTCTTTTTGCATTTTACATATTTATTTAATTTCCATTTAAATTATGCAATTTATTTATTTTGCAAATATTCAAAAATGATGTAATAATTTAGATTTAAATTCTTGTCAATATCCCCATTTGAACATTTGTACCCCCCTTCCCCTATTTGGTTTTGTAATAGCTTAGTAAATTTATTTTCGCACTTTATACGCTTTCTAATAATAACATGTTAGAATTAGGGTTTGTATGCGAAAAAACGATTAAAAAATAGTTATGACCTAATCTCAAGATAAACAAGCATGAAAATGGACACACATCTCACACTTGCACCCCTAGGGTACTCCACTTTGTTGCCTTCAAACAAATGGGCCATATTGTATGTTGAACTTCTTTGGGCAAAGCAAACAATTTGAATGATCATAGTCCCTCGATAAAAACTTTTCAAAACAAACAAAAACAAATGATCAAGTCCCTTAAAGAAAATTGCCCAAAGACATTTAACGTCGTTGCAATTATGGTCTAAACGATGACCCGCGCCTGTCCCTTTCACATCCTAACATAAGGTTGTCCACCAAATACAATGGTGGAACAAACTTGTTAAAAGGGTTAAAACATAGCAATAATCTTTTGAGAAATTTAGGAGTAGATAACCTCTTAGTTACTTGAATCAAACTTGCAAAAACAAAACGCTTGCCTATTTTTCAAACCACACATCACTACACTTTCAAAACAACTTTCAAAAACAAATGAAAACCTTTTCAAAAGACATACATCTTTGTATACATCCCCACATGGATCATTACAAAGATTGCCACCACATTGGCTTCTTTTCAAAATATTTTCAAACCCACACACACAAAGCACCATTTTAAACAAATTGAAAACAAAAGGCAAGTGATCTAAGCAAGTAACTAAGAGCCCATGGATAACCATGGATAGAAAAGGTGCTAATACCTTCCCTTTCTATAATCTACTCCCCGAACCCAAGAAAACATCTCAAAAGGTTTTTGCTGTGCTTTTTAACCTTTCCTTAGGATAAAATAAAAAGTCGGTGGCGACTCTTGCTAACCGCAACATTTACGAATACAAACGCAAAACCTCAAGTCAGTTCTCCCACCGTATCACAATATGCACTTTCATTCTTACATTGATCATTGTGAGATGTGTTCCTTTGACAACATAGTCTTATACTCGGGATGATTATTGTGCAGGTCACGTCAGACAATTCCTCATCTGCCTGAGTGCATCTTGCGTCAGTTCAGCTACATTCAGTACAATCCCAAATATTCTTCTGTGCATGCTCCTCTCACTATAACACGCACGGATATGTGTTATATATTTGATGATTATCTTAATCATCTGATATCGGAGGAGGCACGAAGTACATAACTGAGAGTGACTGGAACTACATAGACGATTACATCCGGTAGTTCTTCTAGGTGTCACGTCCTTATATGGTGCAGGATGTTCCAGGAGATCTATCGAGGCCAACTCATCATGAGATATTAGAGAAGGAGCAAGCTAGAGCAGATCGTGTTGTTGATGTGTTGCCTAAATGTCGTCGTATCATGGAGATTGGGCAGACGGGTATTAACATATGACTCTTTCTGGATGGCTCATACGCAAGGGAGGTTGTAGATGTCATGATTGTAGAGGCTCGAGAGGCACTGCAGTACAAGAGGCAACGTAGGAACAATGGGTCACAAGGCTAAGACCGAGTTCGTCATACGCAGTAGATTATAATACTTGTACTCTTAATTTATTTTTGGTTGTATTTTATTTATCGACTTCGTTATAACTTTTGGATTGAATTTATGTACTCTTGATTTATAACTTTATATATGTCATTTTCTACTTATCCTTTTTGTTGTCTAATACATCATAGTATACCTTTTGAACAATGCATTTGAGCATCATTGAAAAACTTAGAATTTATTGTCTTTATTGAATATGGAGATATCTCCAAATATTTTCTGATGTATTCACGAAGATGCATCTCCAAAACAATTAATATTTATCTAATAAATATGCATTCGAATATACATCTCCGAAATCTAAGAGACAATTTTAAATTTACATATGGTGCTTTTCAAATACATAGGATGGGATAAGAAATTCCCAAACTTCTTAGAAGAGTGTACACTCAAGACAATTTACTTTCTACTTATTGCTGCATCGGAGCATTGTCCGCTTTCATTCACTAGCTATACTAGTTTATTTACTATTGTAATGTCTGGGTTTTTTTTTGTTTTTGAAAAGGCTACATGAATTAATAAAAAGAAAAAGGCAAAATAAAGTACAAGAAATATTTCCTATACTGGATGATACTATTGTGTACACTAGTTTGTTTGATTGTCTCTACTTTCTATTTCCGAATCCCTAATTTAGTTTTCTTCATTCATCAATCTATTGTCCATATCTCATGCATAGCATTCACTACGAATGACTTCAATGAAATATGTCTATAGCAAGGCCTTAAGCTAATAAATGACGCCTATGCGAAATTGCTTCCCATTCACTCTAACTTTTGAGTAGTCGCCATAAGAGTCAAAAGAGTTAATAGATGGTATTTTAGGTAGTGTCTGAAACATCCATGTCATAACAGATTTAAAAAACAGGGTCTCTCTATTTTACTGTAAAAGTTAAAAAAGAGATGATAATTTACAAGTTCAACCTAACCACAACAGTTGCTATTCTGTGGGATTGGTTGCCCCTTCATCTGAACAGATTCTGCTGACTTACTACCACTTGGTTGGCTTCCCATCCTGCATATTCAAAACAACTCAAACTTAATATTTGTCTTACAATGGAACTCATGTTGTGCACAAAGAAAGTAATGGAAAAATATTAGATACTTCTTCTTAATCTCCGCTGCCATAGTTAAGAAAGCCTGCTCCACATTGATCGAGTCTTTAGCACTTGTCTCAAGGAAAGGGATACCAAGCTCATCTGCAAAAGCCTGTGGTTCATGATCATCAAGGATATGTCAGACAAGCAAACTAGGATACTCTCCCTCTTCCTTTTTTGTTTAACATACAATTCTACATTTAATTCCATAACATCACCATTTTGGACAATTAAAATTAAATTGCGGAACAAACCGACCAATGTTAAAAAGCAAATATGACTAATCAAAAATATTATTAATCTACATGACATGTTCGATCAAGACATTAATCATCACACCTTCTTAATATCTTTAATAACTAATCTTTTAATGAAACTGAATACCAAGTTATAGGCATTTTAATAAAGATAAAACTACTGGAGCTGATCATACTATCCGGTCTATAAGCCCAGTACTTAATCATAATATGACCCCATTTTACAACATTCCGTTTCTGGCAATAAAGATTTTAAACGGCCCACCCATTCATTTATTTCAAACAAACACAATTTTGTTTTGTCCACAATTTATAAGCAACTATCTCAATCTCACTCTCAGCCCCCTCATTTCACTTCTTCCTTCAAAGCTCAAAAGATAAAAAGAGAAACCTAAGTCTCTAATTGGTTAACTCAATGTTGCCAATTGCGGATTGCAGAAAATAGTTGGTTGTTTAAATTCTTCTATGCGCCAGTGCTACAGTGCTGCTATAGCTTCCATTTCACAAGATCTTGTACTAAATAGCGCATTACGAAACAATAGCGACTTGTTTAAGTTCCACTAAGTAATAGCTCTATATCGGCTATAGCTGTTATTTAACAATAACAGGTTAACCCTAAATGGCTAAACCTATACTCATGATTTGATTTCTGTCTGTTTGTGGTTGTTTGAGGTAGTTGTTTGTGATTCCCCATCTGGGATTTTTGTTGGTTTTATTTTTGATTGATTTCACTTATCTGATTTTGATCATTCAATTTTACTTTAGGGACTTTGTTCACTGTCAATTTTGTTCTAGTTAGATATCCCGTTCTCTTCCTAGGTCCATGGCTTCAGTAGATTTGGTTGAGGTTCAGAGAAAGAGTTGCTTCAAGAGAAGATGGACAAGGAGAGCACCCTTTATCCTATTGAGACATACACAATTATATATGGACTAGGTGATACGAGACCCACAATCTGGCCATCTCTTTCCGAGGCTGAATGGCAAGTATAGTACACGAGTATCAGACATATCTAGATGCTGAAGTGGCATATGTTATGGAGAAGGGAAAAAGATTGGAAGAAAAATTTGCCAAACACAACAAATCTAACCAGGAGACACAAATGTCGGTTTTCATTTATCAGATTTGTAAGGAAGGCAAGTTTTTAGTTGATTTTGAGCCGAGTGAGCTGAAACGTTCAATTCATTTTATGTTGGAAAAGTACAAATTTTTTACAAAGAGAATTATCCACCTTCACTAATGTCTTATCCTCCACAAATTGCGATAGATTTTTGGGGTAATCAAAGATGGACAAATATCGTCCCAAATCCTAGCTCGGCTGGCAGAAGCCGATATTGCTAGGTTGGATGTTATCACCACGGTTCGAACCATGGTACTCACGGCCGTGTGTGTGAGTTTCTAATGGTTATTACCACTTCGTCTATAGACCAAAAAATAAAAGATGGACAAGTATCATTGCTACTAGAGACTGGACGAGAGCAATTTGATCAAAGAGTAGTGCTTTTGAATTTGATAACAATATAAGTAGCAACATGGGACTACAACCACATACAAATCCTAGCAGTAGTGTTGATATGGTGTTTCCTCAAGGAAATTTTGAAGATCTCAACAGTACATACGATTCAAGAGTGTTTCCTACAGGAAATTTTGGAGGTCTCATTAGTGGAAATGACTTGGGTTCTGGGGTGTTTCCTCGATGCAGTTTTGAAGGTCTCAATGGTGAAAATGATTGCTCAAGGCTATCAAGAAAATCTTGCTAGCATTAGTGAAAGATGTGAGAATGAATTGCCAGTGCCTATGTAACTTTTAGGAAATTTTCCTGGAAGTGATTGGTAAATGTTTCCAGGACATGGTTAAATTGTATTAATTGAAAATACTTGGATGTAAAACTATATAAGTATCATTTTTGTGTCAGTTTTCGAACAAGGTACATATATTAGCAGCAATTAAATGCTAAAAATGCAGATTTGGGGATATATATTGAGTGAAATGCTAAATAGAAGGCATTCCTTTTGTCAACATTGTCTGACGCGGTGACAGAAAAAATGCTTGCACTCACTTCATTGATACAATTATATGCAACAACAATATTGCCTTGTTATTTAACGATATTTTCTAAAATTATTAAGCAGGAATTAATTTATGTTGCCCTGTTGCTTTGGATTGAGTGTGGGTTTACTAGATTTATTGCCATTGTCCAAGTCTCTTTAATGCAGTATCCAAATCATTACAAATAGAATAATATACATGCTTCCGGATTAGTTTCAGTTATTGGCCTAAGGTTAATACATGAATGTGTGATGATCAGCGTGGGAAATAACATTGTCTATCTTGTTTAAAAGTAGTTACTAAACTAACTTAAATTCGAATAATATTGTAATTATGTATCAAGGAGTGAGGAGAATGGACAAGATATATAAATGATACTAACCTGAGGAATAGGGAACACAATGAAGTCAAAAAAAGAAAAGTAGGAAATAGAAAATCAGCAATAGATCTAAAAATAGAATCCGAGAAGGATAAAAGCAATATTTACCTTGGCAGTGTCAGTGTGAACAAGCTTATTTTCGGTTAGATCACATTTGTTCCCGACAAGAAGCTTGCATACAGTGTCATTGGCATATCTATGAATTTCATGCAACCACTGCTTGACATTGTTGAAACTGTCGATATCAGTGACATCATAAACAATCTGCAGCAATCAGAAAAGGGTTAGGCAAAAAGATATAAACAAGGGTGGGTGTAATGAAAAATGATAAATTGGAATTACAATGATTCCATGTGCTCCTCTATAATAACTGCTAGTTATAGTCCTGAATCGCTCTTGTCCAGCCGTATCCCACTAAAGAAAGTAAATGAAAAGTAATTATAGTAAAAAGCAGAATGCATGAAGTTAAGTAGTGAGAGTGAAAAGAGAAGTCACAATTTGCAGTTTAACAGTTTTGCCTTCAAGTTCAACAGTTCGGATTTTCTGCCATAAAAAAAAAAAGTAATGAATGAGTCATCCATAGAATAGAAAAGAAAATAGAGTTAATTAGTAAATTAGTTACAAAATCGACGCCAATGGTGCTAATGTAACTGTCGACATAAGAGTCATCCTGAAAAAGAAGAAGGAAAAAGTTAGGGTTAGGGTTAGGGTTAGGGGTGAAAAAGAGAAGTAGTAAAAAAAAAAGGAACGGACGGCGAATCTGAGAAGCAAGCAAGATTTTCCAACGGAGGAGTCACCGATAATAAGAAGCTTAAACAGGTAATCGCTGAAAACCAAATCAAATAACTATTAATGTCAACACCTGATTACTTCAAAAAATGAATCAATGCTACTATTATTTCATCAACTTACTATTCGTTGCTCATCGTGCTTCCAATTCTAAAACCTCGCCTCTCTTCAATCTTACTCTCCCCTCACCGTTCAATTCAATTCTTAAATTATTCTCTTTTCTTTTAATCAAAGTGTCGTGTCATCATAAAGAAAACAACCAATACTATTGCTTTTTTTTCTTTTCTCTTATTATAATCAAATTCTTTTTCTATCAAACTCAATTATATTAGAATCAATTATATCTACCGCCAATCCAAACACATCCTAAATTTATTAAAATTTGATGTAGTTCAAGATAGTTTTTCTGATGCTGTGTAGCATATTAGATTTAGATTTGATTAACCAATTATCCAATAATGCATTAAATGAATGAAATTAATAAATGAATGTAATTTGACAAATGTACAAGGTAATAATACCATGGAAATGACCTCACAATCTTGTGACTAGTGTATTAATTTAATAAACCATACAACTTTTATACAATCAATGCCCATGAATTTCATTTTCTGTATAGACCTTCCTCAAACATGCGGGTTTGTTGGTTAGAGATCTTTATACTGTACAATCCCTTCCATGGTAGTTATGAATATCCAATGTGTTTACGACTCTCAGCATCAAAATTATAACAAGTTTCCAAAAGAAATGTTTATCTTGCCACAATCATGTGTTCAAGTGTCCTCATCCCAAATTAAATGTATCAAAACTCTTTGATATGTGACTTGCCATATCTCATTTGGTGAACTAGTGTCTCAGATTGCCCAATCTCACTGGCAGCCTTTTTATTCTTGTCCTTAACCAAACGAGCTTTGCGCACAGCTTGTTGGATTTGTCTTTCATGCTCCTTCAGGATCTCTTCAAAATTAGCCTCTGGATGCAGTAGGGGCCCAGAATAGTTGATGTGCCCATTTTTGGGAGCATTACCCTGCAATCACAAATAAAAGCAAGCTGTTACTAGAGAATTCCACAGTCACAGCGAGCATAAAAACTATAATAGAAAAAGGAACAGTCTCAGGAATTTCACAAACATATTCCAGTATTATACTCGTGGTGAGTATATAAGAAGGGAAATAATAAACGTTGCTAGGAAATCTTTGGAGTAAGACAGTCAACCAGACCACAGTATCAACAGTCTATCAAACTCATCATCTTCCATTATATCAAAGAGTGGCATGTAATGTGACTCCAAAACAATAGAACAATTGCACAAATTAAATGTGTTTACAAGTGCTTTCTTTACCATGGCACGATCCTTTCCTAATAGATGGAAGTCTTTCTTGCGTAAATCTTTGGTTTCATCCAGCATTTGATTGAACTCACCATCAGTTAAATGACTATATCTCAAATCAAAGTGATCTTCTTGCCACTGTGAATTCAAATTACAGTCTCTACTCATATCAAGCTGTGAATCACCTCGAACTGCAACTGAATTAGAAAATCTTGACAACTGTGCAGTGCTACCTTGCCAGCAGGAATTTTGTTTTCTCAGCTTAGAGTTTTTTGATGTAAAGACCCGATCAGGGGCTGCAAGAACAGTTTCCTCTTTCAAATTCATATTGCATGACGATCCATATGCACCTGGATGCATTAACTGGCCTGAATGAGATAATGTATCATGTGCTACTGCCTTAGCAGATTCAAGAGGGAAGCCATCACCTCCTTCCTCTTCAGGATTGTACTTCTCACTGATGCATTTTGAATTACACCACTCTCGTCTCTTCTGCAGGAAAAGAAGAAAAAAAACAGAAATAATGAATCAGGCAAATTCTAACAGTTCTAGCAAAAAGTCCCAATAACACTTTGTTTATGAATTAATTTACCTCTATTGATGCCTGAAGCTCACCATTAGCGTCAGGTGCTGGTACAACCTTAGACTCTTTAAAACTCCTTCCAGCTAATTCCTGGCCATGTCCTTTATTTGCTGCCCGTCGTCTGTTTTAAAATAAATATTAAAAAAAGCAGCGACACAAACAAGTAAAAAGTATTGCTAAAGAAAAGACTATTGAAGCAAATTAGAATAAAGGTGTTATCTCAAAATAAAAAGGAAAAAAATAGAGGAAACAGATACTTGTCACTTGACTTCAAGAGAATGCCAAAGGTAGATACGGCACGGGAGCCTTTCTATCATATTCTAGTCATTGCACATCAAATTTTGAAAATAATGATATCATCCCTCTTGAGATTTTAGTTTCCCATATCAATATAAAAGAAAAATTATCATCAAAGCATGCACTACTACACTAGCAACACAAATTTTTGCTATTTCTGCAGATAGTACAAACATCAGATATGACAATCACATGAGAGTCTATGAAGATAACAAGATTCGAAGAAGGAATACCTTCTAGCTTCCTCTTCACGGAGTTTGGCATCAAACTCCTTACTCGGCGAGTACTTTGGCAAAGTCGATGGATCACAAGGAAGTGGGTTTGATGTGAAGAACTAGACATGAAAAAATGTCCTTGACTAAGAAAAACAGTTGGTAAAAATATGTTGAGTAAATTCACTGAGAAGATAACTTAAAGCTACCTCATTCTCAAGTGCTGAAGATGCAGTTCCTCGATCTTTTGGTTCAATAGCAAGTAGGACCTCCAAGAGACTCAGTGCTGATGAAGGAAAATCCTTGAATGTCTCAGAAAGAATACGTTTGTAAGGTTGTTGAGGTTTAAAAATTGTCGCATGTGGTAGCTTTGTCTTCTTCCAGTATTCTTCAGAAGGAGATCCACAAAGTTTGAAGATTTTATGCAGTTGCTCCACCTGCAATGATAGATTACCAGATTTTAATGCCCGCCACCCAATTAAATCATGGAAGTATATATATGCCAATCAAATAGTTGAATGAAAACAAAAATTAAACAATTCAGTATTTCAAGCAAGACGAAAAAGCATACTGGTTTCTGTCTTTTGCCGATGATTTATAAGATCCTTCTTTACTTGTAAAGTTATAAGCTCTTTTTTCTCGTCAGCAACATGTTTGCAGATAATTTTAAGTGGTTATAAAACAGAAATGGAATGATCATTTATGTTTCTTTTACTTTTACATCAAATGAATCAGTAAGTTTTTCTTCCATTACAAATATAGGAAGTAGATAACAGGGACATATTAGTTTGACACTTATTTCACCATAACCGGAATGCTGGTGATAACAGATGCAAAGGCTTCAATATGGCCAATATGATGTAGAATCTACATATCTACACTGTTCGGGCCGAAGAGGATATGGATCCAATTGACACTCTTAGTTAGTAGCGGAACCAAAATAAGAAGTGGATATTTTAGAAGGGGGGAAGAAGGGATTTCCTAAGAGAGGTGGGACAGAGATCGTTACGGGCCAAGGGGAATATAGGGGGTGAGATGATGGGTAGAAGAAAGTTATTGATATTCCATTTTATCATCCTCTCTCGCAGAGGATAGGGAATTCTTTTTGGTCTGAAGGAGCTTGGTCTGAGAATTATAAGGGGGGACTCTTGTAATCAATGACATTCAGCAAATAATACATTCCATTTTACAATAATCTGTCCTACTATGTTTCTAAAAGACATATCCAAAACAAAAGATGAAGTTTACCTCAGTTCGTCCAGGCATTATAGGTTTTCCGGCTAACATTTCTGCAAGAATACAACCGGCACTCCACAAATCCACAGAAACGTGATAGTTTGTAGATCCAAGCAAAAGTTCAGGTGGGCGGTACCACAAGGTTACTACACGACTTGTTAAAGGCTGCTCTTGAGATGGCTGAAACAGAGTTGCAAGTCCAAAATCAGCAATCTTCAGATTGCCATCATTGTCAAGAAGAAGATTGGAGCCCTTGATATCACGATGCATAACACCGCGACTGTGACAATGCTCAAGACCGCGAAGAAGTTGTTGCATATAACACTTGATCTGCACCATAACAAAAAAAGAAATTAGCGTAATAGGAAAACAAAAAGAAGCGATGACATTGAGTGGAATAGAAAAAATTAGAAAAGACAATAGGCATAAAAGTTAAGAGCTGTAAACACAGAAGGATTGAAACAACATAAGAAAATATAGTATTTTGTTTTATCCATAAGAAGGTACCTGTGGTTGGGTAAACTTGTTGCGAGGCAATGTTGCGAGGCCAGTAAGATCATGTTCCATATATTCGAAAATAAGGTACAAGCTAGCAGAAAGGCTTGAAGTAATAATCCCTTCAAGTTTCATGACATTGGGATGATCAAGCTTTCGCAAAAGAATAATTTCTCTGGCCATAAAACGAACACTTTCAGGATCCATATTAGTAAATTTGACCTTCTTCAAAGCAACAATTTTGTTAGTCTGGAGATCACGAGCTCGGTAAACACTGCTATAAGTTCCTTGGCCAATCTGCAGAACCATGAATGAATTAGCAATTAATTATATTATAACCATGAATGAATGAATTAGCAAATAATTATATTATATCCATGAATGAATGAATTAGCAAATAATTATATTATAACCATGAATGAATGAAAAGAAAAAAAAAAGAAATGAGAATTGGCATTGCCTTATCTAATTTGTGAAAAGAGTCGGCTCTACGAGGAAGCCAACCGACGATGGCTTCAGCGGCAACGGAAGTGAGCCAAGAAGGCCAGCCTGGGACAACAATGGACGTCCTTTGGCCATTGGTCTTGACACTCAAACATGTGATTATCTTCTTAATGTCTTGTTCTGATCCTGTTCCTTCCCTCGTAATATCAGGGGAATCGCGATGATACGTATTTGATATGAGGTGTGTAGTTGCATCATTTTCCCTATTACTCACAACCAAACGCTTTGATGATTTCTTATTCTTAGTCTTCAATTCTCTCCCATTTTCATCACTCGATTTTCCCTTGGAGCATATGCAACCCATAACATTAATCAATCAAAATATGAAATGATTATGCAATGCAGGTAATACGTTTGTGGAAATGATAGATCCGTGATGAAATCAAATACAAATATTGAAAATTGAAAAGGGAACGATCGAACAAGATAGTGGTGACTATACTAGCAGTAATAGTTGGAACGGAATTGAAATGCACAACAGGGCAATGAATCGCAATCTGCTGTTCTCTGCTGTGCCTTACCCTACACCAACACTTTTCTATTCCAAAACAATAAAACACTTCATTTCAACTTTATTTATAACAAATATTTTTATTTTCTATTTATCCTCTTTACATTTTGTTTCATTCATATCAAAATACTTTTAATTAAATAATTAATACTTTCATAACAGATACATTATTTTATTTAAATATTATATTATTATTCATAAATATTTAATAAATGTTATTCTTCTCCTTTCAATGGGTCTTCATATAAACTAAAGAGAAAATAGTTTCTATCATTAATGATGTTAATTATCTAAAGCATAACAAACTAACTAACAAATATTCATAAGCTAAGTATTTTTAGAACGACAACAACATTAGAAGCTTGTTTCTGATCAATATAATACGTTTTTTAATGTGAATTACTTTTAACATCATTCTTTAATTCATATTCAACTAACCAAACTCTATAACATCAATTTCATCCTTCAAATGAATAAAGTATTCAGTCTTGACAGCTTTCATCAGAACATTTGTAAGTTGTTTCTGGGTACTATAGTGTACAACTTCTAACACTCCATTCTAAACTTGACTACTTAAAAAATAGAACTTTGTGTCAATGTGCTTGCTTCTCCCATGCAGCATTGGATTCTTGGCAATGCTTATAGAAGATTTTTTATCAACCATCAACTTCACATGTTTGCTAACCTTGATCTTCAGATCTTGCAACAAACCCATCAACTAATCAGCTTGACATGCAGTCAGAGCACCTACAATGTACTCAACTTTATAAGTTGACATAACAACCACATGTTGTTTCTTTGAGCATCAGGAAATGGGACTTTCTAGATATTTGAAAAAATATCCATAAGTACTTCTTCTGTCAACTCTGTTTCCCCACCAATCAGAATCTGAATAGCATATTAGCTTTGCATCTGATCTAACACCAGAAGAGAATAACACTTCATAATTCATACTCCCATTAATGTACCTCAGAATGCTGACAATAGCTTGGTAATGTAACCACTTCGATTTGTTCATAAACCTACTCACTTTTTTAACCGCGTAGCAAATGTCAAGTCTGATGTTACACAAATATCTCAATGAGCCAACCAACTATTTGAAAATTGTAGCATCTATATCATCACCCTCAATATCAGAATCCAACTTGTGATTCATCTCAGCAGGTGTGATTGCAGTCTTGTAATCCGTTAGCTCAAACCTTTCAAAAATTCAATTTCATACTTCGGCTGATGCAGAATTATACCTTTCGCGTGATACAATACCTTCATTCTTAGAACTTGCCTACCTCTTATGAAAAACTCCCTGTTAGCAATATGTCATTAACATAAAGATACACTAGAATCATATTGCCTCCAAAAATATGTTAAATATAAACATTATACTCCATCTCACACTTATGAAATCCATACTTCTTGAAAAATGAATTAATCTTCAAGTTCCAAGCTATAGGAGCTTGCTTTAATCCATACAAGACTTTATGCCACTTGTACACCATCTCTTCCTGGTTCTTTTTTACAAATCCAGAAGGTTATGACATGTATACCTCTTCTTGTAACAGATCATTCAGAAATGCAAATTTCACATCCAGATACATCAGATGTCAATTATAACTCGCAGCTATCGTAATCACTAATCTGATTGTTTCATGTCTACCTAGGGGCGCAAACACCGCAAAGTAATCTAGCTCGAGTTTCTGAAGAAAACACTTAGCCACTAGTCTTGCTTTATGGTAGCCAATTGATTCATCTGGCTTTAATTTTGAAATTCTGGCAACAGATACTTAATGTCACAGTGAATGTTATGACACCGTATCTGACAAATTGTACACACACTAAATAATAATTTAAAAGACAATAAAGAACACAATCAATTGTTAACCCAGTTCAGTGTAAAACAACACCTACTCTGGGGGCTACCAAGCCAGGGAGGAAATTCACTATAAGAGGTATTAATTTAGGAATAAACCAACCAGTTTATCTCCTTCACTTAAGACCTACCCAATGCAACTTCAATCTAAGTTCTACTTAAACCTGAGTTCCTACTCACTCCCCCTCAATCACAGTAGTGATACTAATCTACTGATTAATAAGATTATGAAGACATTCTTCAATACACACGCTTGATTTTGCTTCAAAGCTTTAATCAAGAGACACAACACTCGTGCTTCAAAGCTTTGAGTGATAAACAACCCTTAAAAACCAAATCCTACTCCAAGTCACTTATCAAACTGATAATTTCTCGGCTCACAGTAGTTACTAAAACTATCACAACTATACAATGCCTTATTGATCTTCTGTCAAAAGCGCTGCACACCTTTAGGCTTCGTAAGAAATATATAAGCAGACTATTCTTCATTTAGGGCTTCCATAAAAATAGCTAGGGTTAAACAAAGTTAACCTAAAGACTTGGTCTTGGGCTATCATCATAACAGATTAGGGTTAAGCAAGGTTAACCTAATGTCCACGTGAGCATCTGATCTGGACAATATACTTCAACTCAGAGTAGCACACCAGATTCCTGAAAATTCTCAGGAATAATAAATCTGCACAACAACTTGATCAGTACAGGATGTCTTAACATTGGTTATGACATCATGTATCTTGCTCACTGATTTTGGTAGAATTCAGTACATATGATCATAGCTTAATCATCATGATATTCACTCATACTGAGTAGATCCTGTAGAATATTCCTTCTGCAGAATTTACCATTATCCCAGAATGTTATGACATCAGTCATGACATTCGCAAATCTGGTTTTACCAAAAAATAATGCCAACAAACAAACACTTACAAACTCCCCCTTTGGCAAATTTTTGGCTAAAACCCCTAAACAATCAGAGATTAGAATGCAGTAGAATTTTTTTTTTAAAACAGCTACCAATATCTAATTCTACCAAAATTACCACAATTTCTTCTCCCCCTTTTTAGCCATAAAGAGGCCAAAGGTACTAGAACTTTAAGTTATACAGTCATCCAAAAGAAAATTCAAAAAACACAGAAATAGAGAGAAGGTATCAAATAGCAGCAAGTTCCAGCATCAATCTTTATAACTCAGCAAACACAGACCTTCAGGTACTGCCATCACCTGAGGAGGCATTATTTTCAACAGCATCTTCTGGTTAGCTTCTTGTAGAACCATCATGTTGTTCTTCATCAGCACCTTCTTCCCTCATTTGTTCTTCATTCTCCTCCTGTTCCAGACTGGTAATCAGCTCTTCAAGTGTCCTTTTTCTTGCGTCAAGTTCTCTGCAGGTTTCTTTTAGAACAGCTATAACATCAGCTTTCTTGGAATGAGCTTCGACATTTGATGTCTCAGCAGATGTTATAACAATGTCAGGGACATGTGTTCCCTGAAACAGCTTATAGTGAAAACCAAGTGCAGAGGCTCTTTTGCATACAAAGTCCTTTTCAACCAGAATATCAGGATACTGATCAATGATTATACCACACAGGAGAGAGGGAAAGGCAATAGGGCCTTTAATAGCACAGCTCTCAGCATGTTTCAATGTTTGATCAAAGATGTAGTTGCCATAATCAAAGTTTGTTCTGGTTCCAACAACATAGATAAATCTTCCAAACCAGTGGAGATGGTGGATTTGTGGTTGGTGGGAACCCAGTTAGCTGCACCAATTTTGTGCAGTATGGCAAACTTCATACTCAGCTTGCTTGCAGTTAGCTTCCCTTTCAAGGGTCAGTGCTTGACTTGCTTGGCAGTGATGGTTTGACAAACCTGGTTGTCAGTAACTTCAAGCTCAGGTTGAGCATCATCAGGCCTTCCTAGGTATTTGTTTATCACAGTAGGGGAGAAATTTACCTTCCTTCCTCTCACATAAACACTCTTAAAATCAGCTGACTTTCCATCAGCACATCCACCAGACAAATTGACTATGAATTCTTTGACAAGAATCTCATTGCAGTTGGAAAACTTGACCACTATTTTCATCAGGCCAGCAGCCTTGATGAGATCCATGACTTCCTTACACTCAATAGCACTTCTGTTCAGTTCCCTCTCTAAGGCAATCCTTTTCAGAAACACATACTTCCACCTGCTTGCATTTTCTGGATGGTGAAAGGAGATGTTGTCAATGGCAACTTCAGGAACCTTAGGCAGTTTGCTAGAAGAGGGTTTCTTCCTTAGAGGAATGTCTGGAACATTGCTCTCAACATCAAAATCAAAGTCTGATTCCTCATCAGATTCAGAGGGTTCAGGAGCCTTTCTTTTCTTGGCTATAGGTTGTCTCAAGGATTTTGAGAGACTACCAACAGATACTCTAGCTTTTACTTTACCCTTCCCTTTCGAAGTTCCAGCTTTTTTATCCTTCTTACCTTCTTCTCTAGCCTTGTTCTCAGGCCTAGCTTTCTCATGAACAACTTCAGTAGCCTTCTCTTTGGAGGGGCTTTGGGCAGCACTCTGCTTTTCTTTTCTACTCGTCATCCTTCTAGCTATACTAGGGTTGATATTAGCAATTAAATCATTGTGAGAAAATTCTTCATCAACATCAATGACAGAAGGTTCAACAGCCTTGTCAGTAGGGGTCTGGTGATCATCAGGTTTCTCTGGAGATTTCTCAATGTTGTCATCAGGTGTCTCAACATTCTGAGTGACATTGGGATCACTTTCTAAATTAGGGCTAGCAGTTTCTTGGTTCAATGGTACAGATATACCAAGAACAGAGTGATTCTCATTAAGAATGCTAGTGACTAGTCTCGCAATAGCTTGATGCACATAAGCAGAACCTTCCCTATTAGCTATCTCTGGAGGAACAGAGCATGATGGTTGAGAAGATTTA